GGGGGGGGGGAGGATACAGGAGGGGTATAGGTGATGGGATAAAGTAAGAAATAACTGCATCCATGTAATAAAGAGCTACTAATGCTAACCTGGGGTCCACATGACAAAACAGGATGCACACAGGCTTTCACGTTAGGCTAACCCAAACCTCAGCTTGTAGGTGTTGTGGACTTGGCAAATTGCTTGGCCTTTCTGAACCTGAACATCCTCAACTATAAAACACAGACGATACCAGTTTTTATATTACACTGTAATTACGAGGATGTATCAGATGATATATCTGAAATTTTTAATATTGTATCAGACATGTAATAGACCTTCCATAAATGTTCTAAATTGTACCTTATGGCCAGAGCAATTTGAACTCATCGAATCTCACATGAGGAAAAAAAAAGGATCTGGCTCTGGCCCCAAATGTCAACAGTGCCTGGCTATGAGGATTTAAAGTTTGAAGATATTGTCTTCTCCTAGTCATTACCTTAAAAACTAACAAAACGAATGATTCTACTTGCAAAACTGATGGTTATTAGAACTCTGAACAATTTTCTCTTTTAATAAAAATAACATGATAATTTTGATACTATTTCTATATAAGAAAAAGCATAATATATATAAAACTACAGAAAATATATAAGAAAAGCTAATAATATTATAGGAAAGTGTGAGCAAAAGAAGATTTGAACATTTCTAAGTGTATTGTAACTGCTAATTAAAATATATTTTTAATCAAATTAATACTAATTGCTAACAGAATAAACACATAAAATCTAGTTCATAAAAGTAAGCGTTCTGCACTTATAAATCTTGTTTAAATTAATATTTTAACAAGAATGTTATAATCAACAAAGATATCTAATTTAATATTATTAGAATATTTTTTCATTTTGTATTTTACCAAAAACAATTCATCTAACTGACCACATGACTCCACAAAACTGGACCTAAGAATAAGTCAATTTAGTTTTGCCAATATTTGAAGGAAAAAATATTAAATGTCCTAATAGGCTTTTCCAAAGTAAACTTCTCAGCTATGACCATACATGTATTTTCTGTCCTTTAAAAAAAACACCATTCTAACATTGCTGAGACAGGGCAGAGACTGATACAGTTTTGTAAAGGAAGAAATGAGTGTAGCTACTGTAAAAGATTTTTAAAAGGGCAAGTAAGAATTGTTTTAAATAAAACAAACATACTAGGCAGCTTCCTATATTAGAAAAGGTAACAAAATTACTCATTACCTTTACATTTGGCTTCTTTGTTGAAACTCCTCTATACCAACCTAAAAGGAAGCATACAAAGGATATTAAAATCATGTTGTTGTCATTTTCTGTGAGACATAAAATGAGTATTGTTAGAAAAAATTAATGCAAACATTTCTAATAAGGCACATTAACTGTGCCTTCATTAGTATTAGTTTACTCCAGAAGGAACAGTCTTACAATAAATACAACATGCCTAATTTTCTTCAAAAAGCACAAATCCCTAGGTCCATCTATTCTGTCACAAAAGGTAAGATTTCCTTTTTTTCCCCAGCCAAGTAGTATTCCACTGTATAAATGTACCACAGCTTTTTATCTACTCATCTACTGATGGACACTTGGGGTGCTTCTAAACCTTGGCTATTGTAAATAATGCCGCAATAAACAGAAATCAATAAATATTTTAGAATTTAAGAGTTGTACAAATTGACCCTGGCTGGTGTGGGTCAGTGGTTAGAGCATCAGCCCACACACCAAAGGGTCTCAGGTTTGATTCCTGGTCAAGGGCATGTACCTGGGTTGCCGGTTTGATCCCCAGCCCTGGTTGAGGTGCATGCGGGAGGCAACCAATCGATGTGTGTCTCTCTCTCCCCTCCCCTCGCTCCCTATCTAAAAGCAATGGGAAAACATCCTCAGGTGAGGATTAACAAAAAATATATAAATAAACTTTTTAAAAAAGAGTTATGCAGCCCTAGCCAGTCTGGCTCAGTGGTTAGAGGGTCAGCTGGCGGACTGAAGGGTCCCGGGTTCAATTCCAGCCAAGGGCATGTACCTTGGTTGTGGCTCGGTCCCTGGCCCCAGTCAGGGCACGAGTGGAAGGCAGCCAATCAATGTGTCTCTCACACTGATGTCTCTCTCTCCCTTCCTCTCTCTGAAAAGCAATGGAAAAAATATCCTCGGGTGAGGATTAAAAACAACAACGGCGAAAAAGTTATGCAAACTGCATTCTATTTAAGCAATTAGTACACAAAGAAGATAAAAATATAAAAATTAGATTTTTACACAAAATATAACCACATTAGACTGAAGAGCAAAAACCAAATTGCAGATCTTAGAAAGACAGTAAAAATTAACTGTACTTTCAAAGACAATAAAATTCAGATAAACATTATACACTGTTTAAAAGTAATTAATGTACCAAAAAAAAATAAAAGAAACTGAGAATACCAGATAATTGTCAGAGAATTAGGAAAGCAGCACACTACTGTGTATGTGTGCTTACTGTCTACTACTTAAGTACTTACAGTGTGAATGGAATGAGATAGGTATAGGGTTTACATCTGTCAATCTGGATTACACCTTCCGTGTCAAATACACTTTATGTATTTAAAAAGTACTTCAAACCTGATTTTTTTTTAAGGAAACTTTCTTAAAAATTTAATCTCATTAGGTTAGAAAAGCAATCAGTTAAGAAGGGAAATACACATTAAGAAAAAAGGCTGTTTGCTAAAATAGTCTGGATTTTGTGCATACATATTTATATTACAGATTAACTTACCTGAAAGCTATGATTCTTTAAAATGTAGACAAAAAATAGTGGTCACCTGTGTCATGTTCTGTGCTAGATGTTTTCATATTTATAATATCAAACACTGCAGAATAGCCTGTTAAATACACATTATTATTTAGATTGTGAAATGTAAGTTACCCAATGTAAGTGAGGCTATACTACCAAAAAGAGACAACAGTGCTACCACAATTGCTCCTGACAGAGGGGCTGCAGAACAGTGTCAGCAGTGTTAAACCAAAAGAATGAAGCCTCTATATAGATCAGGACATGTGACAGTGAACAGTCAGGAGTCATTTATAAAGATTCTGGGTGCAAACCAATCAAGCCAGATCAAAAGCACCAAATGCAGTCCAACACAAAGTTCCCTTCCAACAACAGGTTTCAAACTTTTTATTTCAAAGGTGTAACATATTCTTCCCTGACAGAAGAAAAAAATGCAAATTTATTTACCCCCACCCCAAACCCAGGATAATGGCTGCCTAGGAAGCAGAGACAGGTAGATGACAAGTACAAATCCTCAACAGAATATGAGCAAACCGATCTAGCAATACAGTAAAAAGATCATACTCCATGATCACAAGGGATTTATTCTGCGGATGTAAGGTTGGAACAATATCAGCAAATCAATAAATGTGATACATCACATAAACAAAATGAAGGATAAAAACCACATGATCAAATCAATAGATGCGGAAAAAGCATTTGATAAAATCCAGCACCCATTTATGATAAAAACTCTCAGCCAAGTGGAAATAGACAGAACATACCTCAACATAATAAGGGCCAATATCACAAACCCACAGACCAACATCTACTCAAAGGATGAAAACTACAGCATTTCCCTTACATTTGGGAACAAGACAGGGCTGTCCACTTTCACCACTCTTATTCAACATAGCACTGAAAGTCCATGTCACAGACATCATATCAGAAGAAGAAGAAATGAAAGTCATCCAAAAGGAAAAGGAAGAAGTAAAACTGTCATTATTTGCAGGTGACATGATACTATATACAGAGAATTCTAAAGAGTCCACCAAAAACTACTAAAACTAATAAATGAATACAGTAAAGTAACAAAATACAAAATAAATATCCAGAAATCAGTTGCATTTTTATATACCAATAATAAACTATCAGAAAGAGGAACTAAGAAAACAATCCCATTCACAATTGCTTCAAAAGAAATAAAATATCTAGGAATAAAGTTAACCAAGGATGTAAAAGACCTGTACTCAAAAAACTATAAGACACTGAAGAAAGAAACTGAAGAAGATACAAATAAGTGCAAGCACATACCATGTTCATGGATAGGAGGAATTAACATCATTAAAATGTCTGTACTACCCAAAGCAAACTAAAGATTCAACATAAGTCCTAGCAAGATACCAATGGCATATTTCACAGAACTAGAACAAATCTTCCAAAAATTTATATGCAACCACAAAAGACCGCAAATAGCAACAGCAGTCTTGAAAAAGAACAAAGTTGAAGGAATTATGATACCTGATATCAAGCTATACTAACAAAGACACAGTAATCGAAACAGCATGGCACTAGCATAAAAAGACATATAGATCAATGGAACAGAATAGAGAGCCCAGAAATAAACCCACGCTATACAGTCAATTAATATTTGACAAAGGAGACAAAAGTATACAATGAGATAAAGATAGTCTATTCAATACATGGTGTTGAAAATACTGGAAATATGTGCAAAAAGATGAAACTGGACCACACACAAGAATAAGCTCAAAATGGATTAAAAACTTAAAAAATGTGAGACATGAAACCATAAATATCCTAAAAGAAAATATAGGCAGTAAAATCTTGGACATTTCTCATAGCAATATTTTTTCTGATATATCTCCTCGGGCAAAGGAAACAAAAGAAAAAGGAAACAAATGGGACTACGTCAAAGTAAAAAGTTTTTGCACAGCAAAGGAAACCATCAACAAAGTTAAAAGGCAACTCACTGAATAGGAAAACATATTCGCCAATGATACATTTGATAAGGGGTTAATAGCCAAAATTTATAAAGAACTTATAAAACTCAACACCAAAAAAGCAATCCAATTAAAAAAATTGGCAGAGGACCTGAAGACACTTCTCCAAAGAAGACATACAGATGGCCAACAGATGCTCAACATCACTAATCATCAGAGAAATACAATTAAAACCACAAGGATCTATCACCTCACACCTATCAGAATGGCTATCATTAATAAATCAACAAACAAGTGTTGGCAAGGATGTGGAGAAAAGGCAACCCTCGTGCACTGTTGGCAGAATGAAGACTGGTGCAGCCACTGTGGAAAACAGTATAGAGTTACCTCAAAAAATTAAAAATGGAACCGCCTTATGACCCAGCAATTCCACTTCTGAGAATTTATCTGAAGAAACCCAAAACACTAATTCAAAAATATATATACACCGCTATGTTCATTGCAGCACTATTTACAACAGGCACAATTTGAAAGCAGCCCAAATGCCCATCAGTAGATGAGTAGATAAAAAAGCTGTGATACATTTACACAATGTAAATACTTCTTGGCCATAAAGAAGAAGGAAATTTTACCCTTTGCGACAGGCAGGATGGACCTGAAGAGCATTATGCTAAGGAAAATAAGCCAGTCAAAGAAAGACAATTACCTTATGATCTCACTCACATGTAGAATCTAATCAACAAAATGAACTAATAAGCAAAATAGTGACAGACTTATAGATAGAGGGCAGTCTGCCAATCAGGGGTGGGGTGGAAGGATTGAGCAAAAAAGAAAAAAAGAGAGAAAAAACTCATGGACACGGACAACAGTGTGGTGACTGCTGGGGGGAGGAGAGCATGGGGGGATAAATGGTGATGGACGGTGACTTGACTTGGGATGGTGAACACACAGTACAGTGTACAGATGATGTGTTGTAGAACCGTGCACCTGAAACTTGCATAATTTTGTTAACCAGTGTCACCTCAATAAATTCAATAAAATGAATAAAATAAATTAAAACATTTTTAAATACAGAAAGGAAAATGGGTGAATTGTTACTACCCACAACAATATCAGATACTCTCTTGGCAAAAGACACTAATACTAACAGTTATATGAAAATAGCTCATACCTCTATGACGAACAAAGATCAGGGAGGATTTTATAATAGTATATTATAATGTAGTTAATTACAGCTTCAAAATGATTGCTTATAATGTTATTATATATACTATTATATAAAATAAATGTATATAATACTGCCCAAAGTGATCATTATTTGTACTCTTTATAGGGCCATGCTTACCTTCACATTTTTCAAGAATCTGGACCGTTTCTCCTATTTCTAACACCAAGCCTTGAGGAACCGATGCTCGGAAACTGCATATCACTAGAAAACAAGGATAACAATATCAATTAGCATCTTAAATGCTGAGACTGGGTCAGAGTCCCTGAAATGAAGACTGAATTTTCTTAAATATATATTCCCCTTTCTTCACTAATTCACCTCCCAAATATGTAAGCCCCTTTCAATGGAATCAATATTTTGAAAGGTAATGTTAAATAGATCAGGACACTGAAGTACATTTTAGCAAAAGTACTATTCCTGAGTGGTGAGTGTACGTACGTGAAAACACTTCTGTAAACAATCTCTCTCATCCCTCTCAGCATGATCTGTCTATCCTTTTGGGGCAAGTTTGTATCACTTAAGAAAATACTGACACCAGAAATTTGTTATCTACTATAAATAGGTATTTTTATAAAGATTCACCAAATCAGTATGATCATGCTTTGAGAAACAGAATCCCCATAATAAAAATGGAAACAAATTAATGAAATAAAAAGCAAATGTATAACAGAAAATCTGCAGATACCAATCAAAACCCCATGTCTTTTTTAGAAAATTAATAAATTGATTCTAAAATTTATATAAGAGTACAAAGAACCAAGAACAGCCTTATAAATATTGGAGGACTTATATTACCATACATCAAGACTTGTAATTGAAAACTGATTCTTTGAAAACACTAACACTGTTAGGCACCTAAGCAAGACTGATCAGGAAAAATATTATCAATATCAGCAATCAAAACATTAAAAACAGCCATGGCCAGTGTTGCTCAGTTTTCAGAGCACTGGCCCTAGCACTGAAGGTTCACAGGTTCAATTCCCAGTCATGGGCACAGACCTGGGTTGCAGGTTTGATACCCAGCTGGGTCAGGGCTTGTGCAGGAGGCAACCAATTAACGTGTGTCTCTCTCGCATGGATGTTCTCTCTCCCTGCCTCTCTTCCTCCCTCCTTCCCTTCCACTCTATCTAAAAAAAATCACTGGAAAAATATATCCTCCAGTGAGAATTTAAAAAGAAAACAAAGATAAAATCTCATTACAGATCAGCATTAACAGATGAAAAATTGCAACTGATTTTAATAATAGGGAACATTAACACTGAACACCAATTAAACAAAATGTTAATCAAAAAGTTTATTATTATTAAATGTATATAACCAAAAAATTTGTACTCAGTTACTATATTTTGAATTTCATCAATAAAATGTGTACCAACTTGTTTCTTTTCTCATCGTATAAGTACCTCTACATAAACTGTACAATTTTGCCTCTTGGCCTATAAGTTTAAAATATTTACTATCTATCTTGCCCTAGCCTGTATGGCTCAGTGGTTAGAGTGTTGGCCCACACACTGAAGGGTTCTGGGTTCAATTCCGGGTCAAGAGCACATACCTGGGTTGCAGGTTCGGGATCTGCAGCCCCAGTTGGGGCACATGCAGGAGGCAACCAATTCATGTGTCCCTCTCACATCAATGTTTTTCTCTCTCTCTCTCTCCCCCCACTCTCCCTCTCCCTTCCCTTCTCCCTCCCTTCCACTCTCTCTAAAAATCAATGGACACCAATAGAAAAAATATCCTCAGGTGAAGATTAGCAAAAAAATATAAATAAATAATAAATTGTTAAAAGTCAACTCTTTAAGCCCTGGACACAATCACATTACAGGTCCAAGGACACATGAAAAAAATTACATCAAGGACTTTTTTCCCTTAAAAATAATTTTAATCAAACAAGTATCCCTCATTGTCACCCTAGTCCTGCTTTAGAAACCCACAAAAATATTACCAGCCCCTTAAATATTTTATGGTTTTTCTTACTTCTAGGTTTAAAAATATGTATCAAAAGAGTCTTCATTTGAAGCATTATTGCACTGCTTTTTTTTTTTAATCCTGACCCTTCCTCTCTAAAAATCATGAAAACATATCCTCAGGTGATTGTTGCCAGAGCTTAAAGAGAGAGAGAAACACTGATGTGAGAGAGAAACATTAATCAGCTACCTTCTGTACACGCCCGAAGAGGGGTCAAACGCAAAACCTAGGTACCAGGAATCGAACCTGCAACTTTTTGGTGTACGGGACGATGCTCTAACCAACTGAGCCACCTGGCCAGGGCTGCACTGCTATTTTAATTAATCCTAAAATAATTACATTAAATAAGAAACGATCTGAACAATAGTTATTTTTGTGTTGTCCATACCAATAAAAGGCAAAACAAAATGGAACTCATACAAAAATAATGTGTTTGCCTTTGCAATACATGATCTTTTAGAGTAGATTTGTCTTCTTAATTAAGTTTTGCTAGGCCTAATAATGAAATTAATTTGCATTCCTTGATCTGGATGAGGGAGTGACACATCCAGGGAGTAAATGGATAGCAAAGGAATTCTGGTTTAAGGCACACAAAATTTGGCCATGAAAGATGATGACTCGAAAAGTTAGTACACAATCTCAACATGATGTTTATTTAGCTGGAAAACTGTCATTATACAGCAGCATAATTACAGAGAATTGTTTCTGCTTGGAAGTACAAAATAATATGATTTTTTAAAAAACTTAGCAACCATACACTGAGATCTGAAAAATGATAATTGAAGACTACTGATGCTAAGTCTCAAACCTAGAAAAATTAACACAAACCAGGCTCATTAGGCACAGTAGATAAAAACAAGTAATAAAAATAAAGTGGTACTTTATTTATGGCAAAAAGAAAAAACAACTCTACCATTTCTATTGTGATTTGGAAACAATCCCTCATTATAACTAACTGCATAAAAGGCAATCACTGACAAAATACTGGGATTCAAAGGGTGAATCTTCACCTATGATAGAAAATACGATAAAGCCCCTAAATCACTTCACTTTAAAACCTAACTTCATGCCTAAAGAAGAGAAAATTTGCCTGAGAATTTGATGAAAGCTGTGGCCACTCCAAGAAACATGCACTAAGTTCACTGACATCTATGGAAAACAGCCACTGATTTCTTAACATATTGCAAGCACTTAGCACTCTTGGTCTTAAATTCCTGGGTCAAGCATTCAAAAACTAGGGCTTCATGAAGATTATTTACAGGGAAAACCGCTTCGGACGCTCCACTACACTGGTATTAATATGAAGCCTCCCAATATCTGAGAACAAATTCCTTGATGAATTAACTGGGCTTGCTAGGTTGGAGAAGTTAAAAATCATCGCTTTCTCTGCTCTAATATATAGTTGGGCCATAAAATTTGAAAATTTAAATTCCAAAGGAAGCTACCAAATACAAGCATCTAATTTGCCTCCCTCCTAAAATCTAACTAACACCACAGTTTAAATTTTGTTTTATTTTTAAACCTATAGCCCACAGAATGAAGAAAATGAGAAAGGAAACAAAACCTAAATAAGTTTAAAAGCTGAAAAACAGATGGGCAAGTCTAAGAAAGTTAAACTCATACCAATAGTACAGCAACTTTCAACCTTTTTCATCTCATGGCACACATAAGCTAATTACTAAAATTCTACAGCAAACCAAAAAATATGCTTTTTGCAGNGTTTAAAAGCTGAAAAACAGATGGGCAAGTCTAAGAAAGTTAAACTCATACCAATAGTACAGCAACTTTCAACCTTTTTCATCTCATGGCACACATAAGCTAATTACTAAAATTCTACAGCAAACCAAAAAGTATGCTTTTTGCAGATCTGACAAAAAAAATAGGTATAATTTTGATTCATTCACACTGGATGGCTACTGCTGTGTTGGCTGTTGTCATTTTTTTATTTGACAATCTAAGGGAAAAGAGGTCAGTGCCCCTGACTAAATAGTCAAGTACTGTGTGTTGAAAAATTCTTGTAGTACACTGGTTGAAAATTGCTGCAATAACAGAAAGAATCAACCTAATTTACAACTCAAAACCAAGACTTGGCAGTAATGGGTCCTGGCTGGTGTGGCTCAGTTGGTTGAACCATTGTCCTGTATACCGAAAGGTTGTGGGTTTGATTCCCGGTCAGGGCACATATCTAGGTTGCAGATTCAATCCCCAGTTGGGGCACCTACAGAAGGTAACCAATTGACGTTCTCTCACATCAATGTTTCTCTCTCTCTCTCTCTCCCCCCCCCCACCTCTAAAAATCAATAAGCATAGCCTCAAGTGAGGATTTAAAAAACAGAATTGGCAGTAATGGGTAACTCTGAAAGTGGCGGGAAGGAGGCAAGGAGTAGTTCAGGGAAGATGCTAAAATCAGAAAGGACTGATTTCAAAGTGTCTAAAACAGCATTTAGATTATTAAAATCACCTCCTCCAATCCATATCTCAGTGTATCCTCTTTTCCTCAACTCAGGAAAATGACTGGAAGTTTATTCTCTGGAAAAGCAAATGGATTTTTAATCTGGATTGGGTAACACAGGTATATCTGAGGACTAGGGAAAAGTGTAAAATAGGATTATGTGTACACAGAAAAAACTCCAGTCCTCGTCCAACTCTGGGCTCTCAGAATTCTGGTATCCAAAAATTTTTACCCTTCAGGCATTCCCATGTTATTCATTTAGTATTAATGGAAAGAGCCCCCAAGGACCCAATATATTGAATGAAAACAAACTCACACTAAAGGACATATTGTGAAATTTGTGAACATATTGTAAAATCTCAGAACCCTGGGGAAATTATGGCTCTATTAATAAGATTCCAAACAGAGAAATAGATTGCACCCAAAAGATCAGGAATCACAGACTTTTTAATACTAACACTGCAAGCCAGAAGACAATGGAACAATGCCATGAAAATGCTAAAGGAAAATGATTTCTAAAGAATTAGGATAAAATGAAGACATTTTCAGACATGCACAGTAGGAAAAAACATAAACTAAAATCACTTTGGAAGGCAATTTGGCATTATCTTCTCAAACTGAACTGTGCATGTGATACAATTCAGCAATTCTTCTGCTACTCGCATACCCTAAGAAAAATACACATGTATGCCAGGATGCAACATGAGAAGATTCATAACAATACTGTTCTTAATAACTAAACAGAGGGAAAATATAAGTATCAACTGACAGGAAATGGATTAATAAAATACAATATATTAGAGCTACACACAACTCTGTTGATTCTTAGACTTTCATTTATTTTTAAATTATAAGTTGATTTTTTTCTTTCAGTGTATAGTTCTATGAATTTCAGCACATGCATAGATTTGTGTTACCACCACCACAAACAACATTCATAATAGTTCTGTCACTCCGGCAAAAAACCTCCCTCATGCTGTGTCTTGAGAATCACACCTTCCCCATCTCTACCCATGGCAATCGCTGATTGGTTTTTCCATCATTATAGTTTTGTCTTGGGGCAGTGTCATAAAAATGAAATCATATGTTTCTAACCTTTATGACTGACTCCATTCACTCAGCATAACCCCTTTGAAAGTCATACAAATTGTTGCATGCATCAACAGTTTATTCCTTTTAATTATTGGGTAGCAATACTCCACTTTATGGCCATACCACACTTTGTTTATTCACCCAAGTCCCAAAGTGAGCACTGGGTGATGTAGATGTGGGACAAATTCAATACCAATGCCTCAGCTCATTGCCCATTGGATTGTCTTCTTTTGTAAAGGCTCTGTTCAAATCTTTCGCCCATTCTTTTATTATCTTATTACTGAGTTTTGAGA